AAAAAGAAAAAGAAGAAGTTTAATTTAGAATCAATTGATAACAATGTGAGTGTATAATATATCTATAAATTTCTCTTTAGGTGGTTGTTGTGGATCTTCCACTCGACATGTTTAAATCAAGAAAACCGTATATTCGCAATTGATTGGGGCATGTCTTCTCGTCTTTATGCATCTATGGGCGGCATGGTCATGGTGGTATATAAAAAATGGTTGGAACTACATAAATATTGAAGTATTATATTTTAAAACATTGATTTTATTTAATTTTATTATGAAAAAAATTAATAATTATAATAGTTAATTAATGAATAATAAAATAAGTAATATTTATTACTTAAAATTTAAATCACATGTTGATGTATTTAAATATCATAATTGATTATTTTAAAAAATTAAAATTTATATACCTTAATAATATGTTTAGTTTAAGAAAATAAAAGAGAGAAGGGATTAAATTTTTTTATTCGATTAATAAAAAATTTAAAAAGAATATGAATTTATCTAAATAAAAAAAATATATCGTATTATTCCATTTTCTTCCACTCTAGTCCTTTTCCTTTCTTTCAACCCAAAGGTACTGTAACACTTCTAGGCTGTGGCGTTAACCACTGTCCTAATGTGTACTTCTTGTTATGTAAGGTAAAACTTAAAAAACTGGGCTTAGAGATTGTCAAGATGAATACTGGACCTGAGGTAAATACTGGGTCCATTTGACTATCGAGGAACCAGAATGTTTTCAAAGGACTACGTGGACAGCCCAAACAAGGTACTAAAGTCCATCTTTATCCGAACCAATCTATCAAATCAATTAGTTTATTAACAAAACTTAAGAATTTGAGATTCAAGCTTTGAGAGTTTTATTTTTATTAATTACTTGAAATAATTTCTCCGATCCTTAAAATTTTTCATGTTTAAAATAATAATAATAATAATAATAATAAACGTCCATCTTTATCCTGACATTTGTCAAGAGATGTGGTTTAGGTCTCCAAGGGCAATTATTGGATTAGGCTTCGGGAATCGGGATCCTTATTTTGGACTTTTTGTTGATCGCAAGAGGCTATTGATTGGAAGTAGTTGGAATGGATTTTGTAGATTTTCAAAGCCTTACTTATGTACCCCATGATCGGTTAATGTAATAGGCAAGAGTATTATTTGTGCTTCATTTATAATAATTTTTTTTTTCAGATAAAAAAAAAAAAATTGGAACCACAAAGAATAACTCAAGAGGAACTCAGTGGGCCTGAAATAATATTGGACTGGGTCTGAAGTTTGAACAGCCAAGAAACCTTTGGGAAGTGAGTTAAGGCTGTTAAGCAAAGTAGCAAACAACCATGGTGGAGCCCACGACCCAGGGGTCAGGTATTCATGTTCACAATTTATGCAGTTCAGACAGTGACAAATTGTATGATTTAAACTATTGAATGGAGAGTAAGGTGAGGGAAAATTGTTGGTAGAGGGTTCAAATGGGGATTAGGAGATGGGCAAAAAAGTTTTGGGAGGATGTTAATTCGGTTAAATGGAGTAAATTTATGGGTAGAATTTCCTAGATTGAAAAATCTGATGGGGTCGAAGGATCGAGGTGAGAGTTTGCGTGGTGGGTATGTGGAGCGAATGTGAGTGGAAATGGAATCCTGTTTGGAGAAGATGTCCGTTTGGGAGGGAATGTGAGGAAGAAAGTAAACTGTTGCTAGACTTGTTAAGAGGTGCTAAGATTTCACAAGGGAAATTAAGAAGAAAAGAGGGTGTGGAAATTTAATGGAGGTGGGGCATATGTGGTCGAGAAAGCATATTCTTTAACATTGCCGACTCAAAGAATTCTAGATCCTACACATTGTAAAGCCATTTGGGACAATCCTGTTCCTGCCAGAGTTAGCTTCTTTGCTTGAAGAATGTTATTGGACAGGTTACCTTCTAAAGTCATTTTGCTCAAGTGAGTAGTCCAAGTGGGTGGAGTATGCAACAAATGCAAACGATGTCGAGAGGAGGCAAGGGGAGGGTGACCACGCTATTCTCAGGTGCGGTTATACATATCAAGTGTGGATGAGATGTATGGAATGGTGGGGATTTCATTCTGCTTTGCCAAGGTCAATTCAAGAAGCTTTTCAAACAGTTGGTGCTTGGACATAATAGGATCAAGGTGAAGCGATTCTGAGCATTTTTATTTCTTGTAATTGCATGGTCATTATGGAACGCATGCAATACTTCGTGTTCAAGGGGCAGGATATTTCTGAGGAGGACTTAATTTGAGGCAATACGTGTTCGGTCGTTTCTAAGGCTGAAAGATAGATCAATTGGCTTTCTATACTCTCTATTTGATTGGAGAAATAGTCCTCATGAATGTACGGCTACAATTTGAGAAAGCAAATGATGCTCCAACAAAGGAATAGTTGGAGTAGGTAAATTAAAAATTATGTGTAAGGATATGGGTAGGAATACTCTATTTATTCTAAAATAATAAAAATTTTTTTTGTTAATTAAAACAAAATTATTGAATTAATGGGGAGTAAACTACATTTAATTGTTGATATTTTGTAAATATTTTTTTTAACTTCTTAAATGTAAGAAAAGTATGGTCTGAACTCAATAATTAATGTTTCGTTATCTGAAAGCATCTTTTTGACAATATCTTTGTTTATAGTAGTTTAATACTAATAATGGTATTTGGCATAGAGGTAAGTGCTGACATATATAGGTGGCGTCATGAGCGCATCATAGTCTTCTCTAATTCAGAACAAAAGTGGATCGTGTGGTCACGGGTTACCACAAGTTTTCCGCTCCACAGTGTGCGGATGATGTTTTTTCTTGCGGGCAATCTGGTCGAAAGTAAGAAATATACTAAAAAATTACGAATAATACATTGTTTTTTATCCAGGCGCACTGGATTAGATTTGGAATATATTTTTTATGAGATGGAGTATTTTTAGTATATCATTGATTTAATATATTATATAATAAATTTATTAAAAAATATTATTTTTTATATAAAATTAAAAATAAAGAAA